TAGCAATATTCAAATCAACTGTAACTCAATGAGAGTAGCAATAGTTAACTCAACTGTAACTCAATGAGAGTAGCAATATTCAAATCAACTGTAACTCAATGAGTAGCAATAGTCAACTCAACTGTAACTCAATGAGAGTAGCAATAGTCAACTCAACTGTAACTCAATGTGAGTAGCAAGAGTTAACTCAACTGTAACTGAACATTTCTAGCAGTGATAATTTGAATAACGTACTTCTTGATCATATTCTAAGAACACTCTAAAGTTGTGATCAGTTCTTAATGCAGGATGGGCTGCTAGCCTTTGTAAGAAAACTTCATGCATCGCCACAGTCTTTTTAAATGTTGCCAAGTATTCCCTATGAAAATAAAACAAAAATAATTAATACACACTATGCAGACCAATGCTTATGAGAAGCATCATTTTACAATTACAATATTAATTATTTTAATAAGTGAATGTAGGACATGAAAATAGCTCTGTATGGTGCATGGACAAGCAGAAACCACTAGTCTCTGCCATAATGGGATCACATTGGAGTCTAATAACCTTTCTAGTTTTGTATAGCCAACTTAGAGTACAGCAAAGATTTAACGCACCACTTAAGTGAAAGAATGAGCGAGTGATAACTTATTTTTATTGGTGACATGATCTGCAGTCCAAGAACATTTGCAAATTAGCACAAAATCACAAGTCAAAATGGAGAACAAACAGACAAAATTGATTTAATAATATGACATTAATTTCCTGGAAATCCAGTTACTTCATATGTGTTTGAATTTGTCTCAACCAGAAGCAGCTAGCAATATGAATATGATTGATGTATTTGTTGCATGAATTGGAGTTTTTTTTACTAATTCACTATGAGCAGCCAAGCTCCAAATTTATTATCACTGAAGTCTGATTGTTTACCCAAGGCAATGTGAAAACACCATAAATAAGACAGAAATTACTGGTCTTGTGATTTTCACTGTGACAGGCAAGTTCCGAAGCAGGTAAATTGTACCTGTCATGACACTGGTGGCAAGGTTGCGGTTGTTGAAACCAAAGTGAAAAGCAGATCAACAAAGTGAAAAATTACTGATGTTATCAAACCTGGTTAATTATGTGAGTACTTTATATTTGGAAGAAAACACAAGAAGGTACTTACGCTTCCAACTCTTGTTTCATTTTATTGAATTCTTCTTTAGTCATTGTTCCTTCACCTTCTCCTAACTTTTGAAGTTTTTCTCTTGATGCATCAAAATCAGGCTTAGGTGGTGGGGGAGGAATCTGATAAAAAAGCAATACATTTGCACATTCATCATTGTGATAGACTTTTTTCATTTTCCTCTACATAAAGACATGCACAAGTACTACAAACATGCACATATGCAAATTTAAACCACTAATACCCTATATAGACTGGACACTTTTCTAAACCAGTGTTGACTTGACTTCTATCTAAACCAC